GGTTCTCGGAGCTCACGCAGCTGCGTGTTCTGGGGCTCATGGACGTCACGATCACGACGACGGGCGCCAACACGGGCATGGATATCCCAGACGAGAACGACGACCGCCGAGTGCGCACCTCGTCCTCGGTCGTCAACGGCATGTCGTACGGTATCGCAGATACGTTGGGGAAAAACCAGCACCTCAACATGCTCGATCTTGTGCACGAGTTCCGCGGCATCAAGAAAGACGCAGTGTTCGCCATGTTCGGGCGGGCGCAACCCCCGAAGCAGCTGCCCGCCGCCACCACTTCCAATCGCCTCGCCAAGTACTTGCAGGAGAACTTTGTCCGCGTCTTTATATCGCAGATCAACTCCCTCGACCCAGAGCGCGCGGAAGGCGTCCCCGATGCCCTCCGCCGCTCGTTCCTCAAGCTGAACCAGGATCTCCACGACACGCTCTTTAGCTCGACTCGCAAGATGTCGCAGACGAGCGTGTCTGGCGCGACTAGCAACACCACCGATCCATCCATAGTTCGCAGCGGTGCATCCGGGATTGTGGTCTACATCGTCGACAAGAAGATGTACGTCGCGAATGTGGGGAACGCTTTGGCGGTTGTCTCGAAGGGTGGGAGCGCGGTTCCAGTGTCGAGGAAACACGATCCCTATGACCGTGCTGAGACTGCGCGTATCCGTGCTGCTGAAGGGTGGATCTCCCCCCCGGGCCTGGTCAGCGACGAGATCGACATTTCGCGCTCCTTTGGCTTTTACCACCTCATGCCCATCGTCAATGCCCGGCCTGATATTGTCACCTACGATCTGACCGAGCTCGACGAGTTCGTTATCATCGCCAACCGCGGCTTGTGGGACTACGTCTCGTACCAAACCGCCGTGGACATCGCACAGCGGACGGAGCCGATGATTGCTGCCCAGAAGCTGCGCGACTTTGCTATCAGCTATGGTGCGGACGGGAGTACGATGATCATGGTTATCGGTATTGCGGATCTCTTCAAAGGCACGTCTACTGTCCCTGCACCGGACAAGCGGAAGAAGCGTGGTATCGGGATCATCGACCGCACTCTGGATCGGCTCAAGGAAGAGGTGCCTCCGCCTACAGGACACGTTGCGATTGTCTTCACGGACATTAAAGGGTCCACGCATCTCTGGGAAGCTAATCCTGGGATGCCTACTGCGATGCGTCTGCACAATAGTCTTCTCCGGCGATATCTGCGGCTGTGTGGTGGATACGAGGTCAAGACCGAAGGCGACTCCTTCATGTGCTCTTTCCCCACTACGCTCGCGGCCGTTTGGTGGTGCATGACTGTCCAAGTCGAGCTTCTGGGTGTCCCGTGGCCGTTGGAGATCCTGGAGTGCGCGGACGGGAAGGCTATATACGACGAGGAGGGTCTCTTGATTGCGCGCGGCCTTTCGGTGCGCATGGGTATACATTGCGGCGCGCCGCTGTGCGAAACCGACCCCGTCACCAACCGGATGGACTACTTTGGGCCCATCATCAATCGGTCTTCGCGAATCGAGGGGAGTGCTGCTGGAGGGCACATTATGTGCAGTTCAGACGTCATCCGCGAGATCAACGCCAAGATTCTCGAGACCGAGCCTGAGACTGAGTATTCCGATGCTCAGCCGCAGGAAGCTATCGACGCCATTCGCCGCCTGGATCCCATGGTGGTTCCTGTGGGCGAAGTCCGACTCAAGGGGCTGGAGGTTCCTGAGGTGCTGTCGCTGGTTTTCCCGGCCAAACTTATTGGGCGGAAGGACCTTGACGATACGGCGGCCGATCCTACGGGGACCTCTGGCTCCCGTGTTCAGTTCAGCGTGGCTCAGATGCGGGAGTTGGCCATGCTGTGTCTCAGGCTGGAGATGAGCACGTCGGGTCGCGTGTTCCGTCCGTACCCTGAGCGGAAGGGAAGTCTGCAGGGTCCAGAGGATCCTCCAGAAGCGGACGAACCGTCGGTTTTTTTTGCATGGCGATGCGAACGTTCTCCTCCCACCGATGCCGGACAAAATGACGGATGCGGATCTAATGCTCATCCTGTATTCGCTGATGGCTAGGATCGAGAACGCGGAGAATGCTTTACGGATGATGGCGGGGGCTAAGCCTCCCCCATCAGACGAAAAGAACACTCTCATGTCTGCGCTTCAGAGGAGTGGAGGCCTAGACGAACGGACGTTGGACGAGGTGTGGGCTGTGTTACGCAGTATCTAGTTTTGATTTATTCTTTTTCCGTTGCTAGACTTGTACTCCACATTTTCCTGTTATTTGTACATTCCTGTATGTTGTACCACAACCGCGATGTTTCAACGTTTTCAACACCTGTCTACTTCCTCGCGCAAGTAAACTGCACGTAGGCGTGAAATCGTTTGTATCGTATGTTTTGTTGCCCGTACAAGAAAGAGAGCTGCACATCGCGGGGAGTTACGCGTTGGAAATGGGATTGCGATGGGTCGACCATTACTCGGTCTTTTACGAGGTTTCCAAAAGCTTCACACATTTCTATTCATACACTCGACAAAGTACGTCGACGTCACAAGAAAACTACAGTCTACTGCGTCCGGACGCGACACTAGAAGCGGTTCCGCTTGCGTTGCGGCTTACCTGTATCCGGTGCGGGTCTGTGGATGTCGTTAGTATTCGAAGCGAAGCGGTGAAAGAAGATAGGTAAGAAGACGAGGATACGCACTTCCGACCCTTGCCCTTGATGTTCTCCTGCCCGTCGCGGCCCATACCGCCCATCATCATCCCCGGGTCGTCCACGTCCATGGCGTCGCTGAGCAGGACGTTGCCGCCGTAACTCATCCCTGTAGGCCAAGGACCGAGTAAGCAAATGGGCGCAGAGAAAAGGGGTCACGGGAAGAGACGCACCGCCCATACCGCCGCCGAGCCCGCCGCGCCCGCGCGTGCTCTTATCTTTGGCGGCCGCCGCCAGCGCAGTCTGCAGCGCCTTCTCGTGGTCCGCGAGGTAATCGCGGCGCGCGTTCGAGTGCGCGGCGACGGCGGCGAGCTTGGAGTCCAGCGTCGAAAGAACGGACGCGGTCGTCGACGCCCAGTTCTGCAGCGCGGCGAGGACGGCGTCGACGGCGCCCGGGGCGAGGTCGCGGCCCATGGTGTATTCGACCTCGAGCTGCTCCTGCTTCTGGTCGAGGCGGCCGCGCAGGACGTCGAGGTAGATGGCGTCGATGATGAGGTCCTCGAGCTCGCGCACGGTGGGCATGTCGAGCGCGCGCAGGAGGCCGGCGTACGGCAGGATGCGGCGCTCGGCGGCTAGGGAGACGATGGAGAGGTGCTTCAGCTTGATCGTTTGCGCGGCGTTGAGCGGGGGGAAGGCCGAAGGGTTTTCTGGACACAAGTCAGCGCACTCGTTCTGTCGTTCGACAAGGCAAGATGAGACGGACGCATGTAGTCCTCGTACGTGCGGTACGCAAACAGTTCCAGCAGCGCTAACGATTTGGCGTGCGTGTCGCTTTTTGCGAGCTGTTCGCGAGTCAGAGATTGCTACGTGGGTGAGCAAGCTGCTGTACCTCCTGGATATTCGCGAGCTCGAGCAGTTCGGCAAAGACAAAGACGCCCGGGGCGCTGGTGGCATCCGCGATCAGTTTAGCGGCCGCGGCGCCCTTGAGGGACTTTGCCATGAGCAGGAACGGCTCCAGCTTGGCTGCAAAGTTGGATCCGAGGTCCATATTCGAGTATTCGTCTTTTGGAGGAGGATGTGAGGAGGAGGCCGTGTACAGCCACAGGGAAGCGATCAAATGCGCTTTCATCAATGTCCTCAAAATGTCCTCTCATGTTAAGTCAACTACGTTCTCAAGGCCACGACGTTGTCTGTGTGCTGCTGAACCCTTGACTTGCTTTGAATCTTCCCTCGGTTGTCCCAATTGGAATTTTGTTCAAACCTGTTCAAACTCGGTGACTTCAAGTTACGGTTCTGGTTCAGCAATCGCGGCTTTTGCGTTAGCTCTCGCGTGGTACCACCGACGGAATGCTGGCTGCGCGTCTGGTGGCCTACACCTGTTCTTAACACAAGGGTATATTCAAAGTGGTCACTGCTTTGAGCGTGGATACCACCTCTTTCCACGGCAGGGGCCGTACCGTTCGACTGCACATTGCTGCTTTCTTCAATGTTTGTTAAATCTGAAGACATGAGCTGTTGCCAACTCCAACCCATGCGCTTGCTGGATATCTCGCCGTTTCAGGCAATTTGCTCGTGGTCCTGACATTCTTCCGCGAATGGATGGGTTTTGCGACCCAATATCTTAATCCAGATCGCAGCCATGGTCAGGGATTTGAACATTTTGAACCAGAAACCATGTGGACACCTGGAAAAGCAGTCAGGCAGCGCCTGCGGCGAAGAAAATCTGGTTCAGCCTCAGGACCGAATTTGACCAAATTCAAACTTGCCGTGACCAAAGTTGAATTCGTCAACCCCTCCGGTGACTTGTGACACCGAGCAAAGTTGGGCGCCGTCAGCGCCCCCTCCGTGACTGCCATTGAATGAAATAGTACAGTATTTGCAATTCTGACGACTTCTGTGAGGTGGTGTGGCGCAATGCGAGCTGGTCAACACGCGAGTGTCGACTGAGCAAATTTTGGCCATATCAACAAGGTAAAAGGACTCACAGCATCAACTACATTTTACCAGTGGAGTTGGTCCATGCTGGCTGACCTGCAAGTCGAGTCTTGGGTCATTTCAAGATAAAAAAGGTTTACCTACGGGCGACAGCCTGCTAAGACTAAGCAGGACCTGTCCTACAAGCATTGAATGTTGGCTCCTCAAAATTAATTGTACAGTTCACAGAAGGCATATTTAACCCCGGTAACAGGCTCTGCTGCTCGTCGGCCTTACAGGAAGATAGGGCGGCACCTTACATTGTACCTATTATCTACTAAGTGCATAGCTTACCTTGTTAACTAAGCCGTGGCTTGAAAGGCAGATGAGGGAGCTGACAATGAGAGAATGTGAGACAGAACGGCAGGCAAAACGGCAAGCAAAACACGAAAAATAAGACTGCTCCCCATGAGGGTCGAACTCATGACCTCCAGATTACAGGATCACTCAATCCCTCACATTGCTATGAGACTGGCGCTCTAACCAACTGAGCCAGGGAAGCGCACTTTTAGTGCCCTTGAACATATAAGACAATCTGGGCAGGTCTAACTATCTCCAGACCTTTTTGAAGGCAACCTTCCCACCGAACTTTCCCGGAGCGATGCTGTCCTACATCTTCTATGACAACAACTGCCAGTTTCTCAAGCATCTCCACAGCATCGGAGACCACTATTTCGACAACGTGGGATTGCCGGTGGATGTCTTTTACTTCAAGTGCAAGCACACGCTTCGCGATTATTTCTGCCAGATTAACTGCAACCCTGCTTGCTTTCAAGAACTGATTGGTCCTGATGGCAAGTGGGTCTTCAACTCTTCGGCCGCTGAGCAGGTGAATGTTTGGTTTGGAAAGTTCCAAAATGTGGTGCAAGACATGCCTGTTATCCGGTATGCTCGCTCGTGATGTATACACTTTGCACATGCACTAAACTTGGTCTGTCAGCTACAACTTCTTCCTTGACGAAATGATTGCGCTCCGAAACAAGGAGGTCGTGAAGGACCTTGCGGCAAAAGGCCATGTCCCTCATTTACTCTCAGACGAGTTCCTCCGGGGCACTTCTAACACCTCTGAATCCACTATTGTTTAAATTCTGAATTACATGCTGTATTTAAACTCTTGGCCTAAGCTTCATCCCATGACGGACAAGACCCAGTGCCTTAGCACGATTTCCGTCCACACGGCGAGCTATGGGATGTTTACCAAGAGAGACCGCATTGTTGTCGATAGAGCTTTGACTTGGCATCGAAGACCCATGGTCTTCAATGCCGTTGAAGTTCCTGCAACAATATTGAGAAAACAAGAGACGGAAGAAATTGACAACACACCATACAGTGTTCCCATGCGTCTCAATAACAAGACTGAACTCCGGTACCACAAAGTCCCATTCATGCCATTCTTTGTTGACTCCGGTCAGCTCCAGTTGGACGCAAGGATAGCAAGCTCCTTTGCAATCTTTCCGCGCACGATTCCTTCTAACATCCCCTGCTCCGACATCGTAGTCGGGGTGAATGGCACTGATGTAGTTTGAGCAGGTATATGAAGTGAGCCCGTACCGTCCCATGCGCAACGTCTCGTTGGCCTGAGTAATGTACTTGATGTCCGAGCGCATGCTTGGGATGATAGTCGAGCCTATCTCAACCAAGATGTCGTTGTCCTGATTAGAATTAGAGCCAGCATCCGCACACGAAGACAAGAAAAGACTTACCACTGCCTGGCGAAAAAGCGCCCGGATGGCATCCGGTGTATTTCCACTGTGGCATGCATAAGGGCCGTAGAAGTCGCCCTCGAGCCCACCCATCGGTTGACGAGGTCCTTCGCCCGTCATGGTCCCATAATTCCACCGTTCCATCTCCGCTCGCCGACGAACTCCACACACCGTGACACTCCTGTGGCTGGAGAGCAGCTGCTCTAGCGTCTTCGGGTACATCACTCGGTACCGGACACCTCCCACCTGGCAAGAGTTAAAGCTTGTTTCTGTGAGCATGGAAATTTAGACGCACCAGTCGCGTCTTGTTCTTCTTCCCCTTCAATACAAAGCGAGTGATGTCCCTACCGCACCTCTCAAACGTTTCTGGGCGTGGTTTGATCCATTTGAACCCCAGGGTTTCGGGATTGGCATAGCGGATCGGGAACTTAGGAACCCGCTCATTACCGTTCTTATCCTTCGGCTGCAAAACAAATTAGTGACTGCGCAAGAGAGGGGAGACATTGACATACCAGAGGCAGAGGCTTGATTCGTTCCTCATCCGGGACGCAGGTCATGGCCACCCCTCGCAGTGACTTGCCCTTCCGACGCTGCACCTCGTAGAGCCGAACACACTTCTCGCTTGGGTCGCGGTCCTTGCACCGCGTACAAACCCTGAGCTCGTCGTCTTCGGCATCGGGCCCTAGTGTCTCTGCCTCCCAATTCTGGCCCTTGTTTTCTTCTTCTTCCTGCTCGCCTGTGTCCTCGTCCTCCTCGACCTCGACCTCCTCCGCCTTTCCTTTCGCACTCGCATCTTCTGCAGCCCGCGTTTTCCTCCTCTTGTCAGCCCTAGCCTTGCCTTTCGATCTCTGTCCACTGAATGTAAGCAGTACATATTGAGGGAGTAACTAGTCTCACCTTTTGACTAGTCGGAGTGGAACTCGCCTCGGGCAAGGAAGGAGGGCGAGGCCGCAGGATCTCATTCTTGGCGCGCCGGAAGAAAACACGGTAAGCCCATGTTTCATAGATGACCACCGAAAGTTTTGGATCCAGGCGCTGGAGAAACACCGTCGATTCAGGAGCTTCCGCGTTCATGAGCACGGGAGTCTGCATGATGGCGCGGTACACCTTCGTCGGATTCCAGCCTTCAATTCGCTGGCAGAGAACATGAGCCAGAATTATGGCAGCCCTGTCTGACATACCGGATACTTGAGCTCTCTGAGTGAGGGTTCCAACCAAGTCTCAGAGTAGAAAAGGAAGGAGTCGAGTGAGACCAAAAAATATGCGGCGAACGGTGTGGCATTCCATGGGTGCATCCGTGGGTGATTGGCAATAAACAGGAACAGCTCCTGGGCATCCTCGAAGCTGAATTCATACTGTGGATCGGGTTTCACCTGACGCTGTAAATCCAGTCACACATAGGCCAACAACCACAAGACTGGGAGCATACCTGTTCATACTCTTCTGGCGAGATGGTAGGCGGAGTCCACTTGCAGATGATTTCTGCATAGCTTGACTTCCAGCTGTGGAAACGAAAACTCATCTCCACGTCTTCGTGTGATGTCTCCAGTAGGTTTCCGGGTCTGCATACTTCGTGTAGCTTGTCCAGAAGACCGGATTCCTAAGCTGATTCAGTAAAGCTATACATGATAGAGGTTTGACTTTACCTCCAGAGCACTTTGAAACGCAGGCGCTTCAAAGTCCCGCTTGGGCAGGTCTCGCATTTGACAATAGTCATGAACGACGTCTGCGGCGCTCCGTTGAATTTTTGGATTCGCCTCAGTGAAGAAGAAGACTCCGATATGTTGTGCCCATATATACGGCATTTCTTCGACCGGGTGCTCCAGCTGGCGACTCTTTTTAGGCTTTGGAGTAGCGCGTTGAGCTGGCTGAGACGGAGTTTGGCTGTACTCGGGGATGTCCTCGGGGATGTACTCGGGGACAAAGTCCCCATCCGCCGGGCAGTCATCCATGGGGTCATCCGAGTCGTCCGAGTCATCCGCCTGCCGCTGGCGATCTGGCGGCTCAGTTGTCTCAACAGCTTCTGGCTCTTCGTAATCCTCGTCGCTGTCCATGTCGTCCAGATCATCGCAAAGTGAGAAGTCGGGGGGTGGTTTGCTCTGAAGAAGAGAGTGAGTTGGAGTAGGGTAGTCAAAAAATGCAAATAAAACATACATATGCACGGAAGTTCTTGATCTGCGCATCCAAGAGCATCTTGTGTGCCAGTTCCTCGCCATCGGGGCCACCACGGTGCGAGTACCGAACAAAGAAGACATTGAGGATGACTTCCCAGCTCAATTGTAAAGCTTTGTCCGGCATGAGTGCGACAATTTCACCCCCAAGAGTGAAACCCAGCCAGTCGGCCGCAAATATCACCTACGTTCGTCAAACTCCTGTTATTCACCTAGAAGTGGAGCAGACAAACCCAGCGCTCTTCAGACAGCTTCTCCTTGAGCAGGGACCAAAGAGTGGTCGTTGAACGCCGAGTCTTCACAGAAGAAGTGTGGTGTTGCTTCAATGCAGAGATGAAAGGTTCCGATTCAAAGACGCGGCGGTCGTCGTCATAGGGCCATAGCCGTGGTGTCCAAGCACTGTCCAAGAGAGGCCCTGGTGAGACAGCAGCCATGGCGGTTTCACAGTTCCAGGTGGTGGGCGCAAGGAAAGGGAGAAGCACACTTACATAATCTTGGTTGCGACTAAGTGTTTGCATGCGTAGTGTGTCTCGGAGAACAAGAAACAATTTGGACAATAAACAGATGTATTGTGCAGTACTACTACTACAAGGGATGTAGTTACCAACTACTGCAGTTAATGCGCGCAACAAAGTGGCGCAGTGAATGGATGCACCAATGTGATGCAGCGGCGGCGTGCGGCTACTGACTACATAATGCCACCCCACCAGACTCTGCACAAGTTTACTGCAGCATAGTGGTACACGCAAGTCGTGCAGTCATAACCCATAGGGAATGTCTGCAGCGAATGCGGGCAGGGAACGCGTGCAGTGAGCAGCTGCAGTGAGCGTGCACAGAAGGATCGCGTAGGAGAATTGTACAACGCATGCAAAGGCTCGCACGGAAAACCTGCAGCAAACACACGCAGCAAACCTCCGCAGGAATGCTGTGGCCAGTCCCGCAGTGAACGTCGTGGGCGAGCAGCGCGGTAGATATCTCCGCGCGACAAACGACATGCCATTATAATCAAACAAGCAAAGAGAAGGCGAAACTCACCTCAAATGCGAGAACAATGCACCGAGCTTCCGCGATGAGATCTCCCGTGCGCACGGGGAAGGCGGAGGGCGCGGCGCCGTAGCCACGCCGGTTGACCGAAGTGCAAGGCGGTGGGCGTGCCAAATTCTGTGGTAAAGGAGCAAGGAGCGCGGGGCGCAGGATGTCGTCTCTGGAAATCAGTCAGTTAGTTTCCAGACAACCAGCAGAAGGCAAGATAAAAGCCAAAACAGAAACCCACCTGTGCATTCCACAGCAAGGGCGTGCGGAGCACCTCTGCAGCGAAGACGTGGACGCAATCCCCGCGCGTATTGTGTGGGAGCGTTCCGTGCCATTGTTCCCCGCAGTGGGCGCGTGCACGCACTCGATTCGGCAAGGCCGTGCGGGACATCGCCGCAATGAGTTTCCCCAGCACTCGCATGCACGGACCTCGTGAAAGGGTTCCGTGCACGCCGTCCCCACAAGAAGTCCTGCAGGGGTCCCGCGCAACACCGCACCACACAGCAAACCCGCGCACCGTGTGATTGAATCACAGGCAGGGAAAGGTGGAGGAACGGCAGAGTGTGTCACTGTGAATGAGTTAGGACCAAACAGCG